TATAAATGCTTTTTCCGTTGGGAAGGAACATTCATTACTTTCGATCAGACAAAGGGTAAACATGTCTGAACCTATCGATATCGATAATTGGGAAGTTGTTTCCTATTATCGCCAGAAACGTATCGTCGAAAAACTCTTAAAATTTTCCGCGGAAGAAATCGCTCCTATCATCTCTCAGCTCGTTATTGAAAATTGTAACGGTTGCATGACAGAGCATCTGTCCCAAACGCATCACCAGTGCCTTACGATGGAAAGAGACGAACGTAACGGTTATGTCTATACTTTGATCATGCTCTGGAAAAGGCTTCGGAAACAAAAGTGATGGAGGCTCTTACTGAAAGTCTGAGTGATATGAAAGTGCGTGATTTCGAATTGATTGAGTATACGGCGGACGATTGGAAAACTATCTTTTGCGTGAAACACAGGCGAGCATTGAAGCACGTGATCTTTCAGTTATTGTAACTTACATATTATTCCGTAATCAAAAAACCTATAAAGGATACTGGCTCTTTAGTCCCCTAATCATTTGAAGCAAACATGACTTGGAGGAACATTGTCACTCACTGGCTCTCGGACAAAATTATTTCACAAGAGGGAAATTTGGCAACTCTGGATTTGATGAAACTTTTGATAGAGAAGAATATAACACCAGCAACGCTTATTGACGATGCGACGCTGCACTCCATTATGTTGACACAAATCATACTGGAAACATTAACGGGTATAACGGTACCTCGGGCCCCCCAGGGGAGCACCTTTACCTACCAGATGAACGCTAGAGAAATGATGATGTGGGACATGGCTAGAAAAAACGAAAAGCAGGTCGATGCACTGGAGAAGGAAACGGGTGTGAATCTGGATCATTACCACAAACTGAACATTAAAAATTAACATTGAGATCAAACCATCATTGTAAAAATACATCAATCCACGAATCACATTAAAGTTCACCTTTTGCCTCGCCGTGCAGTCTAGAGTGATTCCACGCACTTTGGTCTCGACTTTACCGGTGTTTGTCCGATAACAATAATTTTTTGGACCGCCCGACGCAAACACAGTAACGTGTTCACCTCCTAGCTCATCGGTTAATTCGCCGAGATGGTTGCCCAAGGGAGGTTCGGGTTCATTGAGTGTGCTGAGAAAAATCACTGAGTCGGTATCGTAATACATCACTCTCTCTTGCAACATGTCCAGCACGCCGTAAAGCTTGAGACGGGCATAGGCGGTGGTGAAAGCAGCAATGACCACGTTGGTTTTCGCATCGGGTTTGATAAAATTGTCCGTATACTCGTATCGGATTTCGATGATGTCGTCACTCACTAAATCGGCATCAAGCACGTTGATCTCATCAGAAGTGAGGTAGTCAAAGAATACTTGTGGATCTTTTATCTGCTCGGTTTTAACCATGTTGGGTCGTTGTGCAAATTTACCTAAACGAGAAACTGTTAAGTATCATGTAGCAAAAATATATCGATGAAAGCACAGTACTCACCCCAGAACGAATTCAACATCAGTTTAGCCAGAGCGCGTAATCCAGGATTGTATTCGATCTTGTGGGGGTCTAAATGGATTCCCGACTTTTCAAGGTACTCGTCCACGTAATGTTGCTTCTGGTCTTCGGTGACGCAATCTTTCGGGTACCCACTCGCCTCTTGTTTAATTTTCAAAAATGTGTCAATATATTCTTTAAACAATTCACTCGAGGTTTCGGGAAAGTGCCACACCTCGTGGAGTCGTAGAATCTGGTAGCCTTTTTCCAATGCTTTCTTCACTTCGATGTGACACCATGTACCCTGAATGGCTCTTTGGTTGTTGGAATGATCGCAGGGGGCTTGGTTACATGTGTCGGCATAGGTCTTGCAGAGAACAGCTGGGAAATTTGTTGTCGCTGTGCAGAGAAATTGCTGGCGCACGCGATATTTTACAAAAATTCGAAAATTTGAAAAAACAACACGAGTGAAATTTCAACTGATGATTTTGCATTTTTAAGACGACGATCAAGGAAATTAAATTATTGGAAAAACTTCACTAACATCTCAAGTATGGAAAGCATCTACATTACCAGCAATTTAATTGTGGATTGATTCAAAATTCAGGCGATAAAGTTACATAGCTAGGAGTTGGCTTTTGTGCTCTTCGAATATCAGTTTTCATTCGCGGATTACCACAACTTGTTGGTCTCATGGGTGTCAAAATCGATATAAACGTAAACTGCTAACCAAGAGCTATAAAACAAATAGCTTCTCAAAAAGATAAACTTTATTCAGTCAAAAGGATGAGGGTAAATAAACATGCTACTGCGTGATAGTGATTTCGAAGCAACTTTGTCATATATTTTAAAAAGTGTGATCATGAATCAAATTTTGCTTTTTGCAATCCCAAAAAGGTATGAAAATTATTTAAATATTTAGGGTTTCCGTGTTTCTAAAGTGTTCTTTTGAGAAAAGTAAAAATTTTCCCAATAAAAAAGCATAGTTTCTGCAGAAAACTGTTTTCTGATAGAGAAGATCCTGGGGGAGGGGGTGTAGAAACGTGCCCGAGTAGCAAAAAATCTTGACGATTCCTCCAAAAAATTAATACCAAATCTTGTTTTGCCTTTGTTTGATATGTAATATAAACAAGTTTTTTTACATCTAAAATTGCCCCTAGTGGTCGTTTACTTTTGGGGATCAAAGTTTGAGGTCCAATTATTTTTAAAGTTTGCAAACTACCCAGCTAATTCTTGGCTGTTGTTTAGTCCACAAAAGTAGATCCTTTCAATGAAGGGAAATTCAAAATAGTATATTTGATTATTTTTACAGCACAGTCATTACATAGGTAGGGTGCAATGCCAGGCCAAATTGCAAAAAAAATTACCGATTCCTCCAAATTTAAAATCATATTTTTTTGCTCCCAAGGCACATAGGAAACAGAATTTAACAATAAATTTTGTTGAAAAATTGCCCCTTTACGTCTAATTTCGCTTTGAAATGCGTGCGTTTACTGCTCTTGTATGAAGCAAGTACGGCGGCCCAGACGCGACAGCAAAAAACAGTTTTTGTATTTTTAGATTTTTTGATTTTTGTATTTTTTGATTTTTTGATTTTTTGATTTTTTGATTTTTTGATTTTTGTATTTTTTGATTTTTTGATTTTTGTATTTTTAGATTTTTTGATTTTTGTATTTTTGTATTTTTTGATTTTTTGATTTTCGTATTTTTGTATTTTTTGATTTTTTGATTTTTGTATTTTTTGATTTTTGTATTTTTTGATTTTTGTATTTTTTGATTTTTTGATTTTTGTATTTTTTGATTTTTTGATTTTTTGATTTTTTGACTTTTGTATTTTTTTATTTTTTGATTGAGTTTTTTTTCAGTATAGATATACATACTGTAGCACTTGAATGAGCGGGCAAGGTTACTGATAATGGGTATATATAACATGATCGAAGCTGTGTAACACAAAATTAAGGTTAAGGGTTAGGTGCCGCGAATTTGGCATTTATCATGTTGATAAAT